TTTCAAGGCTAAAGAGTTTCTGCAGCGTCAGCTTGGAACAGAGGAAGAGTCTAAGGAGGAAGAAATGAAATTCAGTGACTCTGGTACCTCTGGAACAGAAGACGACTCTGCTACAGAAACGGGTGCTGAACCTGCCAAAGTTGTCTACGATTTTAGAGACAGAAAGCCGAAGTAAAGGCAGAAGGGCTGGGAAACTGGCCTTTTGAAGCAAAGAACACGAAGATGATCAGAAAGTTCTCTCATAACAACTAACATAATAACATAGAAACATGGAAGATGAGCAGGAACTCTACAAGTATATTGTGATACTAACACTTGTGGTACTAACATTTTCACTAACAGAAATAAGATCTCCTCCTCTTGGGTTTTTAGATTAGTGTGGTTATCTTTCCTTTATCCCTAGTTGTAGCTCCCCTTCCTAATTTTCTTTGTAGTTTGTAGTTTAATGCAAAATAAAAAATATCCCTTCGGGTGTTTCAAAATATATATATGAAAATCCTGCTAGTAACTTCAAAGGAATAGGGAGTCGTGTTCTTTGAAGTGCAGGTGTGATCCTCCCTTATTAAAGTTTTTGGCAATTTCCCAGGTCAAGTTGACCTGACCAGACACCGGCTAAGCCAAAGATTAGGGTTAAGGGAAGTGCAGTTATATTCTCTATATTATGTTCTCCTGAGTACCATAAGCTAACAATAAGAGCTTATAGTTAAATGAGAGAAATCCAGATCATGTTTATATTCTAACATATTGAATTATCAGATGTTTTAAGCAATGCCTCTCTATATATGTGTGTGTGTTGTATAAGAAAGAAGGGATTACTCTGTTTGCATTTTTTAACGGGATAACAGAAAACTTTGTTTGTTAGTGGCTAATTGGGAAAGCTTGTGTCACTGCCAATTGGTCTCTCTCTCTCTTACTTCAAAGAGAAGAGTTTACCTAGGTTAAAAGGACAGTTATGTATGTATTGTAACAAAGAAAAATCTAAATGCTTTGTTTGCAAAAGGCTAAAGCTTCAACAATTCTGAGTTTTGTTAGCTTGAGACAGGGGACTGCTTGCCTGGAGAGAAATCATTATACACAAGCCGGTGTACAAATGACCCAGCTAACTAAGTTGAGAAGGCTAATGAGAGGAGTATGTCTTTTGAAGCTTAAGGGAGGATCTGACTACTAAAGTTCAGCCAAAACAAAAGTCATTAAATCTTGCACATTTGCCAGTTAAAAAAGCACAGGTGGGTATTAGATCATGACTCTTGGCACCGATTAAAAAGGGTCAGTTATTTGTATTATAGAACAGTGTCTCCTACAGGCTGAACTAAACTGTGTTTTACAAAGTATAAACTTCAATTTTTACCAGAAGCAGATTTATAAATATTCAAAAATAATTCTGTAAAATGTCCTGATGAACCAAAATGAATAATAATGTGTAAATCAATACATCTATAGGAGTTTAATGCTACAAGGTATTTTGAAATGCTAAAAGAATTCATGTAAAGAGTTTGTTTTAGAACGTTATTGTAATGATATGTCTTCACACTTGTTAGTGAAAATAAGCTTATAAAATGCTTTAAGATACTTTTATATGCATGTATTAAGTGTAAAGAAGAACTGAGTTTGTAGAATTTTGTAACTGAACTAACAATGTAATACTGAGAATGAACTCAGCCTGAAAAGTTCAGTCAAAGGTAACAGGAGTCTGGGAGTCGTAAACAAAGTCGTAAATTATAAATAATGAAGTGCACCTGTGTTGTAGGAGTAGGAAACTCAGCCAGCTACCATCCTGTGTGCCAAATATGTGATTGATGACTGACCAGACAAAGAAAACTGAACTGAGCATGTCTACATGATGTCAGTGATGATGTAAAGTGAGGAGGCGCAAAAAGAGTATATAAGTCTGCTCATTGCATTTGCTTGTTGAACACCCAGGCTGAATTAAGCTGTAGAGGGTTCCTTATTCCAATAAATACTTTTTATTACCCTTTACTGCCTGGATGATTGTTTTCACTGTGTGGTTTATTGGCTAGCCACATAAGTCAAAGAACCTTAGCGCCTTTAGCGTATTGGCAAGAGAATCAAACCCAGTTCTCTCAGATTAGAGTCCATGTCCATGGACTTAACCACTACACCAAACTGGGTCAAAATGTGGTCGCGCAGCAAATAGTAGGAAATTGAGCAGTACAGCTGGGGGAAATGGGAGACTGAGGGCGGAAAAACTGCTTTTGCGGAATCGGTCTATATAACCCTACATCCATGTCAAACCTTTATTTTGATGAGCTGGTTTCTAGACCAAACAGTTCTTGAGATTTAAAAATGAAAAGTAACAGACACTGGAAGGTGAGTGGGTAGGAGCTGTCAAATCCTTATAAAACAGAATGTGAAAGAAGAGGTACTCAGAAGTATGGGGCTGGGCACCTCTGGACACAAATTCAGGCCTCTGTCTATGAGCCCCTACTCAGTACTCTATCCCAGTGCATTTCTCCCACAGCCTTATTTCAAGTCCATTAGTGTTCCCTCTCAAAACACCAGATTCTTTCCTTCTGTCTGTTCACAAACCTCACCACTAGAAGAAACTATTTACTTCATTTTTCTCTCCAATGAGGACACAAAGTGACTTACATCTTCCTGCTCTCCTCCATTGTATCCTAACAACCCTGTGAGGCAAGCTAGTCTGAGATTGTATGACTGGCCTAAGGTCACCCCCCAAGCTTCCAAGGTTTAGAGTGGGTATTTGAACCTGGGGTCTTCCAGATCCTACTCTGCATCTAGCTTTCGCTCCATTGTTTTACCAAACCCACACTGGAACAGAAAAAGATGCTGCTCAAAACGACATTCAAATACCCCGGGCCAAGGCCTACTGGCTGCTAAGTTACCCCTGAATGGCCATAAAACGGCCATAAATCTATAAGGTAGTACCATAAAACTGAGAGAACAAAGGAAGTGAAACTGGCATGCAGTGTGGAGGCTACCATAAAATCCTGCAAGCAAAGAAAGTGAAAGTGGCATGTAATGCAGAGGGGAATTTCTGTTCCAACGTGGGTTTGGTAAAACAGCAGAGTGAATGCTAGATGCAGAACGGGCCTCTGACACTCTCAGGCTGTGCTCACACACACAAAATAATGCACTTTCAATCCACTTTCAGTGCACTTTCCAACTGGGTTTTACTGTGGCCCTTTAATCCATGTTCACCACAGTGTCCTCCAAGCAATTCTGCACTAAAATCGAATTCATCCTTCTTTTTAATCCAGGTTTTTTCCCCCATTCTGCACTAAAATCGAGGTCAACCTTCTTTTTATTCTGTTTTTTCCCCCCATTCTGCATTATATTACCTCCCTTCAGCGGTCAGCCCAGTTTCAGCCTGCTGTTGCCCCGGGTTATTTGGGTGCTGTTTTGCTGTGGACTTAAATCGCCTCAACTTGAACACTGAGAAAATCCGGAGTGGCAGGCAAATGTGGAAAGGACCAAAATCCAGTTGGAAGGTGCACTGAACGTGGATTGAATATGCACTATTTCGGGTGTGTGATTGCAGCCTAACCACTATACCACACTAGCGCTCAATTCAAGATTGCAACTAAATGTCCTGATGTATGCCATTTCCCTCTCACCCCATCACACACAGACGTTTGCATATAAAACTGGAAAAAACAGAGACATGGTTTCTGTTGAGAACACGAATGGGATCTCTGCTGGCTTCATTGCTTCTGTTACCTGAATCGCTTTGCTTCAAACACATTAAGGGCTGGGTGGTACAATAAGCAGTGCTGCATGCGACTGCACATTCGTATTGGCTCTTATATTCTCGTTCTGTAGCACAGATTGAGGAGGAAAAGAAAGGGTTAGAGTGACTGGAGCTCTATAATTGTGGCTTTCTTTTATTGTTCATATTATTGTCCTGTTTTCCCCTCTGAGCTGAAGATCCTGGAAACGGATGCCGGCTAAGCCTATATATTGACAATATCCGAGACAGGCAGAAGTATGGACACTGCTTCACATGAGGAGTGTAGCACGTTAGCTGCCTGACACAGCAGTTACACTATATATTCAATGTGCAGGGCACAAGGATACCTAGTACCTAGTACGTGAGGTGTCTTTAAAAATCTAATTTATACCCCACCTTTGTCTCCAGTGAGGACCCAAAGTGCCATACATCATTCTCCTCTCCTCCACTGTATGCTGAAACAACCCTGTGAGTGAGTTAGGCTGAGTGTATGACTAACCTAAGGTGACCCTCCAAGCTTCCGTGGCAGAGCGGGGATTCGAACCCAAGTCTCTCAGATCCTACTCTGATACTGTAACCACCACACCACACCAACTATCAGTTCAAGACTGAATCTAAGTATCCCGATGTATGTTATTTCTGTCCCACCCCCTCCCACTCTGATGTTCAAAGAGAAAACCAGAAAAATGTGGAGTCATGATTTCTGTTGAGAACACAAATGAGATCTCTGGTGGCATCACTGCTTCTGTTACCTCCACGGCTTCGCTTCCAAAATGTTAAGGGCTGGCGGGCATGATAAGCCTGTGCATGCTGGAATTTCTGTGCACATGCAGTTTGTGAAAAGTAGTCTACATTGAGAGAGAAAAGACAGGGTTGGATTGACTGTACAATTTCATTTATCACATTTGTATCCCCCCCCCACTGAGATGAAAGCAGATTAGACCCTGGGAGCTGATGCAGGCTGAGCATCTCCCCATTGCCCCTGAAGTAGGAGACAGAAAAATTCAAAGTGCTATTAAGGACGAAGGTTCCCCATCAAAGGCTAGTGGACTGGCTTCCTGCTACCTTCCCTCTGTTGACTGTAGAAGAACATAGGCATTAGCTGACCAGATCAAGCAGCACTGCATTTGGCCTCCAACTTTAGCTAGTCAGATGTCCCTGGGAAACATAAACTGGGCTGGAAAGTGACAGTGTTCCACCACTTGTGCCCAGCATCTAGCACACAGAGGCATGCTGCCCCTGTACATGGAGGCTCCATTTAGCTAGTGTGGTTAATAGCTACAGGTAAAGCTATCAGCCACAAATATCTCTAATCTACTTCCTTGGCAGATTGGCAACCCGCTTTTACTGCTGGCGGGGGCAGCCACCCACTTTAAGAAAGTGTATGTCAAATCCACGTCAAAAGTTGCTTCACGTATTGCAACTGTGGTGCTGAAGAGCCTTCACGTATTGCAACTGTGGTGCTGAAGATCATATAGCAGCTGCTTGAGCCAGCTTCCCTTTGGTCCTTGTGGAGACATTCAAGCCAGCTGACCCTTAAAGGCACAAAACACCATCAAAGAAATTATGAAAAACCATTAATCAGTCATATGCAGCAGGAAATAAAACAACACTGGCAAGCCTTGCAATAACCTACTAGGAAGGGGACACAGTCAAAATTGTCTTCCTGCTACTCCCCACCAGGCAATTAAGGTTGGACTAATGTATATAAAGGAGCTGCGGTGGCTCAAGTGGTTAAGACGCTGAACTGCAGGCTGTGGAAGGTCGGTAGTTCAGCAGTTCGAGACCCGAGTGTGCCGCATGATGGAGTGAGCTCCCGTCTCTAGTTCCAGCTCCTGCCAACCTAGCAGTTCGAAAGCAAGAAATTGCAAGTAGATAAATAGGTACCCCTTCGGTGGGAAGGTAACAGCGTTCCACGCGCCTTGGTGTGTAGTCAGGCCGGCCACATGACCATGGAAACTTCTTCGGACAGCGCTGGCTCTTCGGCTTTGAAACAGAGATGAGCACTGCAACCCTAGAGTCGGATTCGACTGGCTTTCGAGCAAGGGAACCTTTACCTTTACTAATGTATATAAATGATATGCAAGATGATATTGCTTCACATGGGGAGTGTAGCATGTTGGCTGGCTGAGGCAGCAATTATAGTGTATATTCAATGAGCAGGGTGCAGCCCTACCTGAGTAGCCCAGGCAAGTCCGATCTCCTCAGATCTCGGAAGCTAAGCAGGGTCGACTCTGTCAAGTACTTGGATGGGATTCCTCCTTGGAATACCAGCAGTTGGGAGGCGGGGGCAGGCTTTATTCAGTCACCTCTCTGAATATCCTCTAGGCCCCCTGTAGGGGTCAGTCACTAGAGGTCATCATAAACTTCCACAGTTCCACATACACACACGCATGCACACATTAAAAAATATCAAAAAAAAAAGTGCAGGGTGCAAGGGTAGCCAGCACCTCCTTTACACAGCTTGAGACATGACAACACTCAACAGTCTGTGGAATGCTCTTTCTCTTGAAGTTCATCTGGCGTTGACTGTACTTACAAAACATTCCTTTTTGTTTGTTATTATGTGCTGTCAAGTCGCTTCTGACTTATGGCAACTCTATGAATTAACCACCTCCAAAATGTCCTGCGGTTAACAATCTTGCTCGGTTTTGCAAACAGAAGGCCATGGTGGCTTCCTTTACTAAGTCAATCCATCTCGTGTCAGGTATTGCTTTTCACCTGCCGCCTGCAACTTTCCCTAGCATGATTGTCTTTTCCGGTGAGTACTGTCTTTCTTTTCATCCAGGTTTCTGATGGAAGCAGAGAGGGGCGGGGGGGGGGGGGGGTTTAAAAAACCTGTCTTTGTAGTCTACTCTACAAAGATCTTATCCTTTTAAAAAAAATTGAACGTTCTATGCTGTATGTGTGCTCTAGCTGTTTTTTTAAATACTAGATTAATGGTGGCGGAAAGTGCGGTCAAGTCTCAGCCAATTTATGGTGACCGCGTAGGTTTTTCAAGGCAAGAGACAGTCAGAGGTGGTTTTGCCGTTGCCTGCCTCTGTGTAGCGACCCCGGACTTCCTCGGTGGTCTCCCATCCAACTACTAACCAGGGCCGAGCCTGCTTAGCTTCCGAGATCAGATGAAACCAGGCTAGCCTGGGCCATCCCAGTCAGGGCACGGGGGTCCATAGCTCCTAAAAATTAATTTAAAATTAGCTGTTTGCTGTTTGTATGATGTTTTATTTACAGCACATCTCCTGGAGAGGCGGTAGATCATGCCCAATTCCAGTTCCCTGGGTCCAGTTCATTAGCCCTTCTGTAATGAAGCCCAGCTCTTTAACTCACTTGCATGGGGGACATCTCGGTGGATAAGGGGGCCTTGCACTGGCTGGCCCAGCTCTGTGTTGACCCCCACGTAGGCCGTCTGGGAACACACCACCCCGGAACTCAGGCTCGTCTCCAGAGCCAGGCGCTGCTTTTCTCCCTCCTTCTCTCCAGCGCCCTCCAGATCCTGACACAGGGCTCGAGCTGCCAGCCGGTGAACAGGGAGCCTGGAGAGAAAAATGAGAGTGGAGGACCCTGGTCAGTGGTGGAGCGAAGCTTTGCACGTCAAAGGCCCCCAGGTTTGCTTCATATTTTCAGTTAGGGTTGTCTTGAATACAGGAGCTGGGAAAGACCTCTGCTCAAGATTCTGGACAGCTGCTCTCTAGAGCAGTCACTGGTCAGCTAGGTGGAGAAATGGTCTGACCCCTCAGGAAGATACTGCATATTAGCACGTTGGCATTGTTTTTTCCCTATTATTATTGTTTTATCTATGTACGATTGGTAGGATAAGAAATCAGGTTCTTCATTCAGCTCCTGCTGCACGTGAGCAGTTTGGTAAAGTTCAAGCAAAAGAAGCCAGTTCGTTTCCTGGCCTTTGGTCCCATGGAATGGCAGAACTCAGATTCAAAACTCAGCTTTCGGAATAAATGAATGTATAACATAGAGATTGGTTCAGGACATGGTTCTGGGCTTCAAAGTTCTAGAGGGATTTTTTCAGTCAAATTATAAATGTTAGACAGCAAATAAAGGCATCAAATATGACTGGCATCCTTTCAGTTACGGAGATGGATCTCACAAGCAGTGTTATGCCTTTAGGCGGATCATGGTGTCCCTAGCCTTGCAGATACAGCCAGGAAACACACTGCAATGATTTGAACATTGCCACGTCTTCCGTTTTCAAGACTTGCCAAGATTTCTCACTTCACCATGAAGTACTTGAAAAGCATTTCACTCCATAGAAAACAAAACAAGAACCCCAATTACCCATTTTTTAATTGCTCCCACAAATCGCTAACTTTTCCATGAAAAGAACAACAACAAAAATCTTCAGGGGGAAAAACAGATATCTGCAATCCCCCCCCTTTACTATTTTTTTCTCTCCACTTCTTTATTCCCAGTTAGATTCCACAAGGGGTGGGACCCGCGATACTTGCAGGGGGGGGAGGGAGCTCCACACCTATGAGGAAGAGGAGGAAGCAGCAGGAGGTAAGTTCCCCCCCATCCCGCCGGTTCCCCCCGTCTCCTCCACCCCCCTCCACCACCACCCGCCCGATCTCCCCCCCTTGCCTCTCTCCCCCCCCGGCTCCCGAGCGAGGCCCGTGCCGCCTCCCGTTGCGGCGAAGCCAGGTGCAGAGCGTTCCCTGCGCATTCGCAGGGGACGCTCTGTCACTTTTGGGGGATTTAAGTATCCCCCCGATATTTTTTTACAGGTTTCAGATTTTTGTGCACACCTGGGGACTGCCCCAAGTGTGCACAAAAATCTCCCTCCACCCCAGGTGCCCCCGATGTGCGGAAATAAGTATCCGCATGCAGAGGGCGACTTCGGTATTAGATATATAGATTGGCCAGTGAGAGGGGATATACACAGCGGAGTGCCCTACCTGTCTTTCTCTTGAGCTTTGAGAGGGAACTTCATTGTCTCTGTGACAGTCTGGTCTTGGAAGATGTACTGAAGCACGACAGACCCCTCAGAAACATCTGAGAGCTGCGGAAGACAAAAGTAATAATGGCAGAGCATAAGGAAAGGAGGGATTCGTTTTGGGAATACAGATGCAAAAAGAACTAAGGCCTCAAAAGGTCCTAAGGCTTCCTTGACAAAGGGGGATGGATAAGGATGGCTAATCAATATTTGGGGTCTTAGTGGAGGTTGCTTGCCTGATGCTGTCCACGGATCTGGGCATAGATGAGGCTGCGCTGCCCTTCGAAGATGGCCTGTGGGCCAGACCCCACAAGCACGGCTTCAAGACCTGAAGGCAAGTCCCATTGCAGAGAGATCCCCATTACTGCTGGCTGCAGGGCCTTCTTCAAAGACTGCAGGGCCTGAAGGAAGAAAAGAGATGCAAGTATCAACATGCAGAAGCTGGAGAGTAGGGTGTCTTGGCCAAATAAGATAAAAATGCCTTTTGAAGCCAGAAGAATGATGGAATAAGACATCTTTTTTTTATCCTGAGATGTTTTACAGACTAGCATTTAAGCATTTAAGCACCCAGCATGCAATGGGCACAAAATCAACAAGCTTTATGTCTAGAAATGGTAGGGTGCTC